TTATTTGTCTCAATTAATGTAATATTGTTCCAATATTCAGATTTTTTACCTGCGGTATAAAAAAACAATCAAAGAAGAAATAAATATTAGTTATATTAGCTGATCGCCGATAATCTAGATTTAGTATTAGCAAGATTGACTAAACTTGTTCAGTTAAGAAAAGACATAAATTGTGTTCGAAACATTGAAAATTCCCGTAACGTCTGCACTGATACAAATCAATAATGTTTTTTTTTAATCGTTGCGAATTAAATTGAATATAATCGTAACTAATTATAATTTGTGTTCCTTAAATACGTTTCCAACAAATACTGGGCAAAACAAACATGTGCCTTTATTTGTTCGTCATTTAAAAATCATGGAACCCATCAAGCGGATTTCTTCGTGTAGCCTAAGTGATGATTTAATATTTGCGACAAAGCCATGGCATTTATGTCCAGTTCATCAATTACCATTTCATGTGTCACTCTTGGATTTTCGTCAATTTTTGCCTTCACCAGGCTTTTGTATTTTCAGAAACATATAAATTAATACCAACTTAGCGAACTTTTGTTATATTAACTTTATTTTTTTAATCGCAAATAATAACTTCTGTAGATCTTGTATGTTCTGAAGCAGTGATAATAATTATAAAATTAATACATATTCTAGATATGTGTACTCTTGATTTGTGTTCTTTTGTTTATATGGTGATTATTTTCTTTGTCGCTAATGTGCATCAACCGGCAATAAAAACATTGATTTTTAATTTACATAACGACCGAATAGTATACCGTTTTATTTTCTTGATTTAGTAAGTCTATTGCTGGCTAATTCATCGCAAAGACTGCGATAGCAAAGAAGCCTTTTCGGACCTAGATAGCAGAATTTTAAAAGGAAAATGAACTAATATATCAAGAACAACAACAATTCAACTCATTATTGTCAAATTATCCAAGAAATTAGACAACATCGTAAAAATTACAGGTTGTAAAAGACAAACAATTACCCGCACAATGTGAATCATTACAGAAACTGCATATTTTTCTGTCTTGGCCAAAAAACATTTAACTTATAGCCAGAGTTGTTGGCAGGTTGTGAATAAATAATAAAAGTTAAAAAAAAATATGTTACCGTAAATAGACGATTTTTCTGACATCACATAGTTAAAATCAGTCAAAAAAAATCACAAATTATGTTTTTCTACCAACTACAAATAATAATGCCAAATTTTAATTTTAATATTTTTTTTTCTTTATTTTAATAATTTTATTTATTTACATTTATAAAAACTAATATTCTCGACATCCTTATACTTAAAAATAACTTAGATTGTCTGCTGTGCTATGGTTACTCATCGTCTATTACTATTACATCCTTGTCCCTCAATTCATCTGCGGTCCTTACAGCATGATATTCTGAAGGCTCATCGTCATCCTGGTCATCTCCATTTGAGACCATGTATAATTTCCTCTTGATCTGTCGGCGTGGTCTTGGAATTCGCTTGTTTTCGTTCGGAATAGATACTTCCATTTTGCTTGAATTCTCATCCCCAAAGAGAACTCTTCTTCTCTTTTGAACCTTGCGTCTTGGAGTGGCATCTAGAGCTGGTGGACACCTCTTTGTAAAATGTTGGAACGGAGGTGGCGTGTATCTCGGTGTATCCGGAGTTTCGTTCCCTTCATCCTTGTATTCATACAAAATATAAGGTGTCTTCGTTCCGGGTTTCTGTTCAAAGTGGCGATACTGGTGTTCACGTGGGAATACTGTGGTCTCCAAAAAGAGACCTTCCTTGGTAAGTTGTTTTAAGTACCATATACCTATAATATCTCCACAGTTAAGTAGCTCAGGTCCTCCCACCAGTTGCGGATAGATTGGAGTATTATTTTCCTGGGAATTCATATTTTTTTTATGAAATTGAAGAATTTTAAAATATTACAATAAGATAGAACTCGCTGTGTTAATCGTTTGCTAACTCAAAACTAACTGATGCTGCTCCACTGCTCAACATTATTTTTATAGCAACTACTTGTACCAAAATTCTACAGGATTATTGGGGTGCAATAAAATATAATACAATTAAAGTATGCAAAAAGTTACCTGTGATAAAAAAAGTTATTAATGGTCATAAAATTTTACAACCCTTATCAATGCTAAATAATCTGTTTTTTTTTTCTTCTAAATTGTACTTAAGATATAGCATTTTGACGATCTCATAAATAAGTCTATTATCTATTGTATATGTATTGCAACAACAATGTTGTCATAATTATCATATATTCTAGTGAAAATTGTAAGGCAATGTTTTATTGGTCTGCAATTAATGTAATATTATTCTAATATTCAGAATTTTTACCTGTGGTATAAAAGGGTTTTGATAAAAATAGAAAAAAAACAATCAAAAAGGAAATAAATATTAGTTATATTAGCTAATCGCCGTTAATCTAGATTTAGTATTAGCGAGATTTACTACCCTTGTTCACTTAAGAAAAGACATAAATCGTGCTCGAAACATTGAAAATTCCCGTAACGTCTGCACTGATATAAATCAATAATGTAATTGTTACCTCGGCAATTTATTTTTATATTTTTTTTAATCGTTGCGAATTAAATTGAATATAATCGTAACTAATTATAATTAATGTTCCTTAAATACTTTTCCAACAAATACTGGGAAAAACAAACATGTGCCTTTATTTGGTCGTCATTTAAAAATCATCAAGCGGATTTCTTCGTGTAGCCTAAGTGATGATTTAATATTTGCGACAAAGCCATGGCATTTAAGTCCAGTTCATCAACTACCATTTCATGTGTCACTCTTGGATCTTCGTCAATTTTTGCCTCCACCAGGCTTTTGTATTTTCAGAAACATATAAATTAATACCAATACCAATAGCGAACTTTTGTTATATTAACTTTATTTTTTTTTAATTGTGAATAGTAACTTCTGTAGATCTTACTACTGCGTGTTTACATAATTTAATATAATAATATTTTATTAACGCCGAATCGTATCAAATTCGCGTCATACCGTTTTTTAATATCCAAGTTTTGTATGTTCTGAAGCAGTTAATAATTATAAAATTAATACATATTCTAGATATGTGTACTCTTGATTTGTATTCTTTTGGTTAGATGATTATTTTCTTTGTCGCTAATGTTAATCAATCGGCAATAAAAACATTGATTTTTAATTTTCATAACAACCGAATGGTATACCGTTTCATTTTCTTGATTTAGCAATTCCATTGCTGGCTACTTCATCGCAAAGACTGCGAATATCAAAGAAATCTTTTCGGACCTAGATTGCAGAATTGTTATATATGGAAGGAAAATGAACTAATATATCAAGAACAACAACAACTCAACTCATTATTGTCAAATTATCCAAGGAATTAGACAACATCGTAAAAATTACATGTTGTAAAAGGCAAAGAAATGTATTTTGTGACAAATGTAAATTTAATTTATGTTTAAACAGAAATATTAATTGTTTTTAAGATTTTCATATGAATTAGGAATTATTGATTGAATTAAGTGAAATTGTTAAATGTCGATTGTGTTAAATTTGATACAAACCCCGAAAATCGTATTCTAACATTGGACAGTAAAAAATAAGGTTGTCATAATATCTATTTATATATGTTTTGATGAAACATTTTTTTTAATATAAATTAATTAATTCAGGCTTTAAGGGAAATACGAGTACATCTACAGTAAATTTAATTACGAAAATTGTTTCTTAATTATAACTTTTCAAAATGTTGAAAGCACGTGCTTACATAATTGAATATAATAATATTTTTTACCATAATATTACTACTTAAATTATTCCTTATTAGAAATATTAAGTTTCATTAAAAGATTAGAGAAACTTGCAAATATTCAAATTATGTATTTTCTACAACAAAATTATGATAGAAAAAGTTTTATTATACACGAATGAAATCACACATCTACATTAAATTTGATTACGAAAATTGCTTATGAATTATGACTTTTTTAAATTTTGCACTTACGCGCTTTTACAATTTAATATAATAATATTATTTTACATAACATTAGTACCAACATAATCATTTCTGATTAAGTAAAAATATGTTTCATTATCAGAAATTTACAAATATTCAAATTATTAATGATTGTTCAAAAATATAAAAGAAAGAAGCAGTTTTATAACACTCAAACAGAGTCACACATCTACATTAAATTTAATTACGAAAATTGCTTATGAATTATGACTTTTATAAATCTTGCAATTACGTGCTTTTACAATTTAATGTAATAATATTTTTTTACATAACATTAGTATCAACATTAATAATTTCTAATTAAGAAAAAATATGTTTAATTTACAAAAAAATACTTTTTATTAATTAATGATTGTTAAAAAAAATATAACTGGTAGATAAAAGAAGGAGTTTTATAAGACTCAAGCAATGTCACACATCTACATTAAATTTAATTACGAAAATTGTTTATGTATTATGACTTTTTTAAATCTTGGAATTACGTGATTTTATAATGTAATATGAAAACATTTTCTTAAAAAGAACTAGTATTTTAATTATTTCTGTTAATAAAATGTTAATTTTAATGAAAATAATTCAATTCAATTTATAAATGATTATAATATAACATTGTGTATTGCATTAATTATATATTAACAACACAATAACAATCAATGCTGTGTTATTAACCATAGGTTTTATGTAGCTATATTTTAAATGTATGTACTCACTTGGATCATAGGTATGACGGAGCAAAGGACCTCGCCGAGCATCCAGTTCTCCACGAGAAGGACGTACAACGAGATGGGAATCACACAGACGCATTTCACGATGTCACTGAGCGCGTTGTTGATGAAGAAGACGTAAGTTTCATCCTTGTAGAGCTTCCTGTAGACCACGTGAAAAAGCAGCGCGAGATTCGTCAGGACTCCGCATACGATCAGCAAAGAGTACATAAAGATGATAAAATGCATGTAATCCTCGAATGAGGAACGGATGATAGGAGTTTGGAACTCGTCGAAGTCCTCGCGTCCGCCGGACAGATACGTGGAGATCTTCTCTGCAATATCCGGCGGGATATCGTCTATCAGAGACGCCGAACCGTTCGTGTCTCCTTTCATCATCAAGGATGATGATGATGACAGAGATATCTAATTTCTCGGATGAGATTTCAACCCTTACATTATCCCGACGTCGGAAGTGCCGAGTTACTTGTTGCGCGTTTCAGATCCACGGCTGATCTGCGTCTTCGTCCAGAACTAGAGCAGGACTAAATGCGAACTCTAGCAGCGGACGCCTCGCGCAATTTGATCCTGTGCGCCGCGTCGAACACGTTCCTTTTTATCTACAACCGTTTCAATGCTTCTCATAAACACCAGTTCATGAAAATGTTGGAGGATGACATACCGTGACAATCTAATAACTAGACTTGCTATGCAGAAAATATGCTATGCACATACACAAATATCACACGTATTTCCAAAGGAAATGAAAAATATATAGATATATACTGGATCCTCTAACTTTGAACACATTCCGTGTTTCAGGACAATGTTCGATTTTCCTGATAAAATAATAATTTAAATTAAATTAATCTTTGGGGGGTTTAAATTATCAGGTTAATCGCCTCCCCCAATATACCGGACTGTTTGAAACCATATTAATCCAGAACTTTACTTTATAAAGATGGGAAATCATAATTTCCAAACCGGATTGTAGTCAATCCGGACTATAATAATACAAATTAATAATAAAATTACAATAATCAATCAATTTTAATTATTACCATTTACTAAAAGACAAATTAGTATTATTTCATCTAATATCTATTATTCCACTGTAAAAATTTTCTGATTTTTACTCGTGTACGAAAACTGTTTCACTCGTATAGTGAAATTAGTGAATTATAATAATTAGTGAATATAAATTACAGTGGAACCTCGTTTAACGAGCACCTCGCATAACGATAATTTCGCTTAACGAGCAAAATAAATTGTAATAAAAATGACTCGCAAAGTATTGGAACGCATTATCGAATATTACATTGTTTATACGAGGAAAATTGTTTTATTATACGAGTAAAAATCCGTAAATTTTGGAACGGATTATGCTCGTTAAGCAACCATGTATGCAGTGGAAACTGCATACATGGTTGACTAGTTATATAAATATGAGTACTCTATTTCAGCAAACAATTTTATACTAAATCATTGTCTATCTGAATTCTGCTATATTCATACCTGTTTTATTGAAGTTTGTAATGAATACGATTATGTATAAATATCGATATCACATATTTTATATACGTTTGTACAAACTACCACTGTAACACTATTGACCACAGCAGTAATTCACAGAGTTCTCAAAGTTCAATAGTAGTTTCAATACAAATGTCACACACACTACTCTGATTTATACAAATGCTATGGCAAATAAACTTTCATGAATTTAGAATTTACTTTTAATTTTGCTCAATTAAAATTCGCATTGATCAAACTATGTGTATCTCAGAATTCTAATATCTAAAAAAGTTATTTTAGTTAAATAGATGACAAATTTCCAAAATAAAATTAAAAATAATGTAACACATAGTCATGATCCGACCAATCAATCAATCAATTACTATTAAAATTGTTTAGAAACTAATATTATACTGTAAAAATATTAATAATAAATAACAATCAAGCTTCCAACTAAGGTGGTGAGTTCCATACTCAAACCAAATAAAAAAAATAATAAATTTTATTGTGGTTTTTGATAGATTTAAAAGAACCTTCATTTATTATAGAATTACTTATAAAAGTCAAGCAAGCTAATGCAATGATATGGACACTAAAACATTGTTATAAATAATTTTATGAACACACGCGTTCAATAGTAAGTTTTTAGAACAAATTTGTAATAAATATAGTTATTTGCTATTTCAATAAAATATTTAGTTCCTAGTAGTGGTTCAATTCAGATAATACCAGGAATTTTTATAATTTGCATAAAAATCGAAAAATATTCCCGGAAAAAGTATGCTACATTTTACCACGCTATACTAAATTTTTGTATTTTATTACCAGCAAAAAAAAAGTTTCGAACACAAAACAAAACTTTAGGAAAAATAACCTCTAGTTTCTAATGAATACAGAAGTAACAATCATTAACTAATTTTTTTTTTAATATTTTTAAAGCAATCTATCATCTGACATTGATACCAAGCCTTATGAATGTGGTGAAAGTAAATTAAAAAAAAGGACACTATAATAATAATTAATGAAGAGATGATCCAGCAACCCCACTTTACATATACGATAATTATTTATGCACTTGCACACATTAATAATCAATAATTAAAATCGGTTTGGTAAATCTTGCGGTTTAATTCGGGACTTCTCATTGTTATGCGAAACTTGCTCGTTAAGCGAGTCATTTTTCATACAATTCATTTTGCTCATTAAACGAGGTTCTACTGTATCTATCTACAAAATTATTAAATGGAATATTGTTTTATCTTAACAAAATTAATATATTATCTAAACTATCTAGGTTGTTATTAATCCTGCTCCTTCTTGGAAAGGAATCCATAACTATAAAATACATGTTATCGGGTTTATTGCTTTGTGTGTAGCAATATTAAGTTAAAATTACAAAAGTTACTAAATACATAAGGACATATTATATTCAGTAATAATACAGCATCCATTTCGGAGCTTATTAATTCTATTACAAAACTGAACTAATATTAAACTAAACATTATAATTTGTGAGATTAGAATTAACGATCAATAACCTTTGTAAATTATACTAGAAGGACCAAGTTTTGCAGGTTATTTGATGTCATAAATGTTTATTACTAGTTATATGCTATTACTGCCCTAAATAATACTACACATGTTTGTTTCCCTATTTTATATATATAGCATTTATTACATTAATTTTATACAGAGAATGTTTTTAATTATTTTAATAATTATTTGTAATTCTAACTAATTTCAAAATATAAATAAAATTTAACAATCAACGTTTGAAAATATTACTAGCAACTTATAAATAAATCAATCCCAAATATTCTCTATTACATACAATAAGTAATAGTATATTATATATATAAACTATATACTATATAGTTTCAGTTATGAGTAATAAGTGTGAAATGAGTCCGATCGATAACAGACATCTAATGCCCACATCCGTAAAATACAATATGGCCACACGTGATTGATGTGACAGTTCAGTGTTATCAGACTCTTATGACAAGCAATAGTAGTTGGTACATCATAACATGGATGCAACATTAGGATTACAAATGTAACTTGCTTAATACTTATGTTATGATGACATCTATTTTTTTCATTTTTGTATCATAAAATCTGAGATAAATAGATAGTGAGTTCAGACTTAGACCAAATAAATATGATATACTCGATAAGCACCAAAAAAGTGATAGAAATAGGTCAGTAATCATTAGGATTAAGAATATAAATAGTTTAATCCTTATGTGACTACATACATTTTACTTAATTTTTATATCACACAATTCAACACAAAGACGGTGAATTCAAAACTTAGACCAAATAAATATTATATATTCGAAAGCACAAAACGGTAGTTGAACTAGGTCACTTATCATTAGGATTAAGAATATAAATAGTTTAATCCTTTTGTGATTACATACATTTTACTTAATTTTTATATCACACAATTCAAACAAAGACAGTGAATTCAAAACTTAGACCAAATAAATATTATATATTCGACAAGCACCAAAACGGTAGTTGAACTAGGTCAGTTATCATTAGGATTAAAATATAAATAGTTTAATCCTTATGTGATGACACATATTTTTCTTTAGTTTAAAATAACAAAATCTTATATAGAAGATGGTGAGTTCGAAACATAAACCAAATAAATATAATATATTCGACAAGCACTAAAAAGGTAGTATAAATAGGTCAGTTATCATTAGAATTCAGAATTTGATTAGTTTATTTTTTATGTGATGAGAGATTTTTTTTAATTTTATACAACACTATCCGAAAGGCCGGTAGAAATAGGATTCAGTGGGCATTGAAAAAAACGAAAAAACTATTTCCATCAAAAAATACATGTTTATATGTGTAGTAATGGATTTACAGTTAAAGTTACCTAAGTCCGCAATTTCAATTTTATTGTTTTGTGAAAATGATTCACGATTTAGAAATAAGTGTACTTGTTAAGCGATATTTTAAAATATAATGTTCTGGCCATAGTATTTTTTTTACCTCAAAAAACGAAGATTCGCTTAACGAAGTAAATTTGTTCAACACATCCCATTCGCTTTGTATTCATTTATTTTATTTTCTTTACAATCTTTTCTTTTTAATAATACAAAAAAATACCATATATTGGAAATAATCTTAAGCAATTTATAAATAAATTAAATTATAAGTACATAACAATGTTAAAACAAATATGGAATGAGTAATATTTAAAAGCTAAAAAAATGCAATTAAACTACAATTTAATGATAAAAAAAAGGAATAGAGCAGAAACGAATTCCATCTGAAGCTCCACGAAAATCGGACTAATTAAAACAGTTTTCTTAATCAAAGAAAAACCTAATTCCGTAAATCTCGTCTTCCAAGTTTTATTTTCTTTAATATTAACCCCGGCGCATCCGCCAAGTTACGCCCGTTATAGTTTGCGAGCAAAAAATAAATTACGGCAATAATTCTTCTCGCGCAAATACCGTTCGTGTTTTTTCACGATTTCCATTCGCAACGACACGTCCGGAACTTCAAATAAAATGCGGATGCCTGAAATTGTTATATTTCTACAATTGAATTTTACGTTTTTACCGGGGATTGTATAGAGGCAAAAATATTTTTTTTATTGGTAAATATTTTTTGTCGGAACACATTTGTCCCCTTACTCTAATAAAATATAATGCATCCATTCATACACATCGAAGTGTGTAAGGAAAATAACGTGAACAGGATGCTGTACTGACTAGTTTATATAAACATTGTGTCATTCGATTTAAATTTATAATGAATTTTCTGTTATTCCGTTCTATTTACCTTCAATTTAATGTTAATTCATTTGAGGTTGGACTATTAATTGAGTTTAGTATACATTCACAGCACTGAAATTTACAAATAATAATCAACTTTCATTTTGTTTTTCATAATTTACGATTTCACTGCTTGATTACGTAATTAATCTACTAAAAATCTACAACAAATAATGAATATAAAAACTAGGGTTTGTCGGATTTTAAAACCGGG